AAAGGGCATGATAGCGAGGGTGTTTGGCAGACACGGTAACTATCATCTAGTGAATATTGAGGGACCAAGCTCAATATCGCAAGGGTTCCCAACACTAGCAAGTGCAAGTCAACGAATGAGTTTCTCTAACCAGGTCAAGTATGCTTGACTAAATAGACACTTAGGAATTCCTTCCTTATGCTCATCTGGTCAAGTGCACATGTGAGGACCAGTTTCTCAACTAGCTTAGGAGGAGATTGATAACGGGTCCAGCAATACTAACCTCCTGCCATCGTGGCAGTAACGAAAGAATATCCAAAAGGACTGGTCGAGAGGTAACTTTAGATACCTGAAGTCACATTCGCGATAGTTGCATAGTTGTAGAAAGCTAGAGGGATTTTGATGTCATTGTTCTTGAGTTGGTACTATGTTTCTCACCCTAGAACATGCTATCGAACACACAAATCTATTAGAAACTAACCTAAGACCTTTAATCCCTAAGAAGGCTCATGCGAAAAGTATCATGAGTAAGGATAAGCTTAACATCATTAAAACACTATGAGTCTTGAGCAAATGGATATGCATTGATGATAAGCTGGAGTACAATAGAAATAGGGATAGGGGTTGAGTGCTTACTCTCCCCCTTAACTACTTTTATATGGTGGCAATCACCACTTCTTCATGAGTTCTAATTATCAAGATTGTAACCGTGAGTGTTAAGGTCGTAATTCTGACTATCAGAAAATGCCTGAATGCATGGTTAATCGGCTGTGTTTTAGACTACTTGACTCGTTGGGTAGAAGTCAATGCTCTTGCTAACACATCTGCAACTATTGTTAGATACTTCCTCCTCAATTGAGTGGTGTTTTAGCATTCCTATCTAGAGTAGATTCTTTTGGATAATGGACCTATATTTATGGCTAAGGCATTTCATGTTTTGATATTTCGGTGAGGGATATGCCATACTTTCACAAATGTTTATCATCCATAGTCAAACAATTTAGTGGAACAATTCATTCGGACCTTCAAAAGGATGATTGCAAAATATATAAACATTCAATATTCAAATTGAGATGGTTATTTGCCGTTTCTTTGGTATACGTATGTCATAGAGGTGTAGAGTTCTATTGGTGTTTCACCATATAAACTCTTATATAGTCATGATCTAATACTACCAATAGAGTTGGGTTTACCTTCGTGATTGCCATGAGCTGCTGATGCTAGATCATACAACAATGGCACTACAACTCCTATCATCGTCCACTTGTGGAATATAAAGTGGATGACTTAATGTTAATTCGTTTTCCTAATTTTACGATACATGGTTTATCTAAAGGGCTCTTTGCTTAATGGAAAGGATTGTATCGGATGTTGTGGCAAGTTAGATTGCAAGTTTATGACATTTGGCATAACATCTAACATGTTGATCCTCTAGAAATTATGCATATATAATAGCTGAAACGATTTATACAAAAGAATCAAAAACAACTGGCACCACTTACAGATCCATCAATGCTTCCTTCTAATGTTCCTTTGGATCTAACCCATTTACAAGAGAACCTTGACAGTCTTCTATCATTCCAAGAGGAAGAGATGATGTGAGGTCCAAATATACAGTTAGGATGCCATACACTAATATTAGTGTAGTGGGATTTTAATAGCCATTGGATTGATTTCAATTTGGACCATTCACTCCTGTATTTAAACTAAATTTTTAGGCTAATTGATATATACATTTTTGTATTCTATTTCTATATTCCACACACTTACAAAATAACATCAAGCATTACTGCATACAATATTTGGTATGTATGTGATGCTTCCACAAAGATGCTAAGTGTGGAAGCATCACCCAAGCGCAAAGCTAGTTTGATTCAACCTAGCAGAAAGATATCATTTTCTGGAACTCCATGATCACCCTCTATGGTCAGAATGGTCACAGTAGAGAAGCTCTACACTTTCAGAGACATGGTTCATGCTGGCAATGGAGTGGAGTGGAGGAGTGCTCTCTCCGCATGCAGCCATTTTCGGCCCATAGATATTTCTTGAGCAAGACTATGGAGTTTCTCCCACGATCAGGCACTACATTTGAATCATCGATCTTCTGGCGAGAGGTGGATGACCGTCAGCTGCTTGCGAAGCTCAAGGCAAAGCTGGGAAAGCAGCAGTAAAGACTTTAGCGGAATCTCGAGCTCTCCAGCAAGTTGGAGATATTTTTCTTCTTGTTGGCGATTCCAGTACAATAGTGTTGCTGCCATTGCTGCTGAATGATTCTCGGCTTGGATGAAAAGCAGGGGAGGCCACCTTTTTGAGTTTTGAAACTCTCGACTAGCGAGTTCTACATCATCTTCTACTTCTACTGCCGGACGACAAGTTTGATCATGCAGCTTGTATATCGAACACAGCAGTGCATATGGTCTCTCGGGATCCAGCTTAAACGCTTGATGTGCCGCTCGTCCTCCCCTCTTGGAGTCCTTGTACGCTCCCAGCAATAACGTCCACACCAGTGGCCCCGGCATACATCTGCCACAGCAAGTTTCCACAATCCCGGCTACAATCGATCTGCCAATTCCGCGTTCTGGCACATCTCCACAAGATCTCCACATAATTTCTGGAAGCATCCGTGCAAAAAAGACCACGAAAGGAAGAGAAAGATAACACCATCAAACATCCATAGCTCGCTCTCTTTCTTTCATTTGATCAATGACCAATCAAACCATTTTTTAGATATTATCAAGATCATCATCGTTGTGGAGCTTCCAAGCGCTTGTTCTCGCCGCCTCGCTCGGCTCAAACGGCATGCTCACAACGAGCTCCTCGCCCTCGTCCGCTCGACCAGATCGTCCCAGCAGATCCACCAAGCACCAGAAATGACTTGGAGCGAACTCTTCGCCATAGTCCTCCCCAATCGACACGAAAAACTCTCGACCCTCGTTGATCCATCCCGCGTGACTACACGCTGATAGAACACCCACAAATGTCACATCGTTGGGATGACCTCCCTCGAGCAACATCTCCTCAAAGAGCTCCAAAGCTTCTTTGCTATGCCCATTTTGGGCGTATGCCACCACCATTGCATTCCACGACACTATCGTTTGCTCCAAGAGACCATCAAAGATCAACCTTGCTATTCCAAGTTTCCCGTGCTTTGCGTACATGTTCAGGAGCGCAGTCCCAACGGAGGGATCATCTGCAAGTTTACGATCCTTGACACAGGCGTGGATCTCTTGTCCTTGGCTAAGAAATCCCTTGTGTTGGCAAGCATCAAAAATGGTAATGAAAGTCACCTTGTCGGGATGGATTCCTTCCAAGTCCATTGCTTGAAACAAGCCCAGAGCTCCAGCAGCATCGGCATTCTGGGCATATGCCGCGAGCATGGCCGTCCAGCAAACGAGATCACGCTTTGGCATCTGGTTGAACAGATCTCTCGCCATGAGAACGTTTCCGTGAAGACCATACGCTCCAATCATGGTGATCCAAGCAACATTGTCACGGACGCTCATTTCGTCAAAAATTTTCCTTGCCTCTTTCGTATGCCCAAAACGGCCATAAGCTGAAAGCATGACAGTCTGAGCGACTAAGTCCGGATCAGCCATCTGATTATAAATCTCGCTGGCGGCCTCGATGTTACCTTCTTTACCGTATGCAGCAAGAAGAGCAGTATGGGTTCTCCTTTCCATTTGAGATTTGCTAGCTACGAGCTTTAAACAATCTTCCATATACCCAGCTCGGGCATATGCTGCAACCATATTGCTCAAAGCGATATCGTCCCATTCGGGCATCTCTTCAAATGTTGTTCTTGCTTGGATCAAAAGATTTGCTCGGGTGTAAGCGGCTACAAGAGATGTCCAGGACAGTAGACTCCTTTGAGGTGATCTCATAAAAGATTGTTTTGCCGCCTCGATATGCCCATTCTGGGCATACGCTGCCGCTAGAGCATCCCACGAGACAATACTGTGCTCTGGAACGGCATCAAACAATCTCTTTGCCTGGGTGACGTTTGAGTCAACTTGGACGTAAGCCGCGATCATGGTGTTCCAAGTGTAAGCGTCGTGCTCAGGGATCCGATCAAACGTTTCTTGAGCGAGCTCCATATCTCGAGCTTCGGCATAGCCACCAAGCATTGTGTTCCAGGCCAGCAAATTCTTCCAGGGCATTGCATCGAAGTATTTTCGAGCTCTCTCCACATCGCCATCTTGGACAAAAGCTCTTATGATTGTCACCCACGACGATTGATTCTTGCCTGGAGCAATCGCAAACAAGTCCCGGGCCTCATCCATATGCCCGTTTCGGGCATACGCGCTGATCATGAAGTTCCACGATGAGATTTGCTTCTCTCGAATGCGATCGAACACTTCCTCTGCCTCCTTGATGTTGCTACACTTCCCATAAATCTGGATAAGCAAATTTCCCAGGAGTGCATCGTGTTGTAGGCCGGCATCAGTGATTTTGCGGTGGATTTTCCGGCTCTCCGCCAAGCTTCTCGTTTGGAGGCAGCTCTTGAGCTCACTCAAGAACGATTCTTTGCATGCCACCGAGCCAAATAATCGAAGAGAAAGACCCCTGGATGACCACATAAACAGGGCAATGGTATATATGCCCTACTTGGGCATATGATGCGCAAGGCGCTGGATCTTTCCGGCTTCTCCAAAGATGTTGGAAAGAAGAATGTACGAAGACAGTGGAAAGTCCTTCTCTTTCTCCTTGCCCGAGTAGATGCCACCGAGATTATCACACTCCTTAGCGATTCGTGCTGCTCGATCCATGTCTTTGTGCAGCTTGCAAGCGCCAAGCAAGCTCATCCATGCAACTTCATTCGGCTCAAACGGCATTGCTTTCAGGAGCTCCTCTGCCTCTCCCACTCGTCCTGATCGACCAAGAAGATCTACCATGCAAGCGAAGTGCTCGCAGCCCGGCTCCCCAATCCCAAAATCTCGAGTTATTGCTAGAAAGTGCTGGTACCCTTCGTTTAGCCACCCCGCATGGCTACAAGCTGCAAGAATGCCCATGATAGTTACATCGTTGGGAGGCATACCCTGCAACGCCATATCGTTAAAGAGCTCCAGAGCTTCGGTGTTATGCCCGTTTTGGGCATACGCAACGATCATCGCAGTCCACGAAACAACATCTTGGGTTTTTAACGTTTTGAAAATGGTTCTCGCCTCGCCAACTTTCCCCGTTCGAGCGTAGAAGTTGAAGATCGCTGTTCCAACCGCGACATCGGTCTCGAGATCATTGCCAAGAATAGATGAGTGGATGATCTTGCCTTCGGCAATGCAGCCACGCTCGAGGCACGAATCGAAAATGCTGATCAAGGTGATTTTGTCCACTGGAACTCCTTCCAGGTCCATCGATCCAAAAAGCTCCAGAGCCTCTCGAACTCGTCCATACTGGACATGCGAAGCGATGATTGCCGTCCAAGCCACCGAGTCTCGATTCTCCAATCTCTCAAACATCTTCCGGGCTTCTTGGAGACGGCCGAGCTGCGCAAAAGCCCCCAGCATTGCCGTCCACGCCACCATATCCGGAGAGGGCATCCTCTCGAAGAGTTTTACTGCCTCCTCGAGCTCTCCATTCCGAGCGTGAGCACTGATCATCACTGTCCACGGCCTTTTGCTTCCCTCTGGCGAGACTTCCAGCAGACCTTTTGCACAATCCATGCGATCGTGTTGTGTGTATGCCGCGATCATCGTGCTCCAAGCCATGTCATCTCGATCTGGCATCTCATCAAAGAGATTTCTAGCCTCTTCCACTCGACCGTTTTTCGCTAGAGCCGTGACCATCGACGTCCAGCAAACGATGGATCTCTTTGGAAGCTTGTCAAACACATCTTTCGCTTCTTGCGAATACCCCTTTTGTGCGTAAGCGGCTATCAAAGAACTCCATGAGACTACTGTTCTTTCGGGAACACGATCAAACAGATCCTTTAAAAGATTCTCTTGAGATTCACGGAGAAACGCTCCCATCATCGTGTTCCACGTGAAAACATCCTTCTGGGGGATATTGTCAAAGAGCACTGCTGTAACGACGAATTCTCCACTATGGGCAAATGCTTTCAAGAGCGTGTTCCACGAAAGTAAGTTTCGCACGGGCATAGAATCAAAAATAAGTTTCGCTTGAATGGAGTCGCCAACTTTTGCATAAGCGGAGATCATGGTGTCAAAAGAAACAGCGTCTTTCTTTCTCATGCTATCGAACATAGATCGAGCGGTCTTGATATACCCGTTTTGGGCATATGCTCCCATAAGTATGTTCCACGAGTAGGAGTTCTTCCGTGTGATCCCATCAAACACCAGCTTCGCGTCCTCAACACTGCCGCAGCTTCCAAACATTTGTACTAGCACATTCCCGAAGTAGCGATCGCGATCGAAGCCACCGAGCTTGGAAAGCGAAGCCTGGATTCGTCGCCCAAGACCCACGTCCCTGCTTACACCGCACCGCTGGAGCAAATCCAGGAATCCTGTGTGATTGAGCTCTCCCTCGGCCATCAGTCGCTCAAGATCTTGATTGAGGTTCGCGAGACCGTCGTCCACGAGGCATGAGAAACGCCGTCGCATTGTAATTCTTTCCTAGGATTCCTTCCAATGCATCGCGACCTACTCCTCTTCCGACCTACGATCGCTCTCCGCCGCTGGGTGATCACTCTTTAAGCACGACGGCCATCGAAACACCTTCCTGGTGTTCGGCAATGCGGCAGCTTGGACGAATCCCGCTGGGCATTCGAGAATCGTGGCGCCCAGCACTTGAAATACGCATACACTTGGCTAGCCGCCTCACTGGCAACGGAAATCTCCACGATGCCAGGAAGGAGGATCTTTCCACATGTACCCGACAAAGATATCGCCATGAGTACTCAGGCGGCATTTGTTTCAGTGTCAAGACATGTTGGACAAGAGCCGCAGTTGAGATGGAACACAATCTATTGAGGGATCAGTTACGGTATGAGTGTGACCCCAACAACGGACATGCTGGTCGAGGAGTGGTCCTTTTGCACCCTTAGAGTTAAAGGGGTCTTTTTTAAAGGGAAATTCACTCCTTTAGGTTAAGTATAAATACTTAAAGTTAATTTTAAGGGGCTTTTTGGTTTTAATAGTATTTTGGGACATTTTACTATTTAATGGTTGTTATTCATTTAGATTAATTTGTATTTATATGTTATAAACATTTATAATTTATAAACTTTTTTAAACAGTTCCTAGTATAATCTAGTTTATTTATACAATAAATTTAATCTTAAAAATTTTATATTTATAAACATTTAGTTAATCAGTTTGATTAATAAATAATACTAAACAGGAATAACACTACTATTAAGAAAAATAAGATATTATTGCATACAATGCATAGCTAGTTATTTAAAATACACCTACTAATCCATTAACCTTTCCATTACCCTATGTCTTCCCTTCTCTCATGACCAAAAGCCCAAGAGTTCACATTCTATGCCGGATCAAGGGAGAGGTCAAGAGCCCAAGAGCTTAGCCATTCCAAGCCACTAATGCATTCCACTAACACCAGATTCTCAATACCATTTTATGGAATAGATTTCAGCCATCTTGATTTTGCTTTTGGTGCCTTGTTGTGGCTTGGAAACACATCATGCAAGGGATGACATGGCTGGGGGATCCAGGTTGTTGGGAAGAGTTTGGGATGGAGCTGGGGATCCCCATGTTAGAGGCACTTGGACATGCTAGATAGGTTGTTTGGCATGCAACAAAAGTCTAGGCTCCATAAGAGGCATGGCATTAGGCTCTCTTCCTTTGATGGGATACGAACTAGAGTGTCAATGGTCATGGTAGTATGGTGGAGACTCACACTAGCAACAATACAGTTACACTATACCATCCTTAGAGACGGGAAACTGGTAAGGCTCAGGGAGTGGCAGAAAACATAGCTTCCATGTTTTGGTGAGGGGGGTGAGTAGGAGATTCATTGGAGATGGCACATGTGGATTCTTTTGTAGTGACATTTTGATAGTGTTCTTCTCCAATGCATCCATGACACTGAGGCTGTTGAGATCCTTCATGTGTGCCACAACTACTTTGGCCACTTTTTGGGAATACTCACAGTAAAATAACTATTATTGGGCAACTTTGTTCATAGATGCTACGAAGTATGCCCAATGCAGCATACTATACCAGAAATTTAAAAAGTGCTCATCTAAGACCAATACTCATTACTGCCAATCACTCTTGAGGGTCCCTTTGCATGTTGGTTCCTGAATTATATGGGACTATTTGTTTCTATGATAAATAACCACATGTATATCATTGTAGTTGTACATGAAGTGGGTTAAGGCCATCTTTGTTGTCTCCACAAACTAGCTCTCATTTCATGGGGTTTCAAACACTTATTCATCATACTCATGCTAGTACTCATTATCCACAAAGTTGAGTCTACAAATCAAGTTCTTAAGAACATCATTTGCAAGATGGTTAACTCTCACCCATGCACTAGGGTACAACACTTGTCTGGCACTTTCTAGTCTTTCTGAACCTCATTCAAAATGGCTATTGGAGCTATGCCATTTGAACTCCTTTAAAGTGTGGAAGTAGTTCTTCCAATTCAGCTGGAATTATTTACCTTTATAGCATTTATTGTGGCTTCTGCCACAAACACTATGGACCAGCTTGAACATCACCATGATCAGCTTCTAGCCTTAGAAGAGTTTTAATGTGCCATAGCTCTCCATAATAGGGTGTATCAACAACAATAATGCTTTACAACAAGCTTATATGCATAATGAGCACTTCCAAGGGGGTGACTTGGTGAAGCTCTTTGACTTTGGGACTCTGCATTATCCCAATTTGATTATTCCATGGCTAGGAACCTTTTGGATTGTTGGAATTGTGGGTCCAAACTCATATCAGCTTATGGATCTTGATGGCCACTTGCTATTAAATCCCCAGAACAACACTCATCTCCAACAATATTTTTTGTAGTAGTTTAGATCTGGAGTACTTTGGAGCTTTCTTTTTATTCTTTTATTTTCTTGTGTTTCATAACATTTTAGATTCTCCATTTCATCCCAAACATTTAAATTATTTTGGATTCACAATCTTAGTTTGATCTAGAAATGCCTATGAGATGATTTGACACAATAATTGGTAAGTTTATGTTTTAGTTTTGATATAGTGGCTTTCTTTTTATAGTGTCCTCCTTGCATATATTTGGACTCATGCTATTCATTTGCCTCTTGATGTGACACATTTATTTATGTCTAGGTACTCTTTGATTCATGACTATGACAGAATTTGTTTGATGTGTTCATGCTTGGTGAGCATTTATAAGTCAAGTTGTCACCAAGGTTTCTTGTCAAAATGCCCCTTGAAAGTGCATTGCAATTATTTATCTTTGATTTCATTTGTCTATGACTTGGTATGGGCACCTAGAGCTCATGAGCTTATTAGTGTGAAATTCAGGAGTTGGGGTCAATAGTTTTCTACAGTTTTGGAAAAAGTATTGTGAGTGGATTATTGTGCTCTTTCATCTAAAAGTGTGCCAGGAAATCCACTATAGATTTGCACTCAAGAATGTTGCATTAGTGGGTGAAATTGACAATAATTATAGTCATGGTTCCTAAAAGGTAGTGGATTTTGGTTTAGTAGAAACTACACATAAATAATGGTCACACAAGCCTCACTCACAAGTCCAGGAAAGAAGTAGGGTGGCCAAGGCTATTCCATTCCAATATCCAACTTCCCAACAATAGTGATAGTGATGGTTGAGTGATGGGGTTCTCCTTGCACTAATTTATAACATGCATGTTTCTTGAGCATTATTTTGGAGTTCCAATCCATCAACTTTCCACTTGATTCTTTACTAAGAGTTATGGAGGATAATATTGTTGATTTTACTAGCTATATTTGTTTTTCACCTTCATAGTCAATTCCCTAGCAGCATCACTTCTACATACTCATGTGACAATGCTACCCTTTGGAAGGCAAGAGTTAATATGGGTACATGTTTGTAATAACATGTCGATGAAGATGGAGCCTTCTTCAGCCAATGTAAACATCGTGACAACAAGGTTCATCTTTAAAATCAAAACAGATGGTGAATGTAATATTACATGGTACAAGGTCTAGCTTATGATGTGAAACTTCAATCAAATTGAGGGCATCAATTTCATTGAGATGTTCTCACTAGTTGTAAAAATTCAATCTATTAGCATCCTCTTAACTTCACAACTCATTACAATTTGATTGTGGATTAAATGGATGTCAAGGTTGTTTTTCTTCATGGAAATTTTCATGAAGATATTTACATGCACCTCCCTACTAGTCTAGGGTACAGCCAGTGCCACATCTACAAGCTAAATAAGACCATCTATGGCCTTCAAGTAAGCATCAAGAGTTTAATATAGAGTTTTTGCTATCTATTGGATTCATCAAGAGTGACATAGATTTAAAAGTATAACTTCATATGGAGTGCAATTGGATGTTATTTATCAATAACACACATGTCATTATGGAAAACACTACCATTTCAATTGTTGTTAAGGAGCATTTATCCTCAAGGTTTGGTATGATCAACCTTGGGCCAATGAAGTATTGCCTCAACATTAAGATTTGCCATCATAATGGTGTTATGGAGCTGTCCCAAACTCATTATGTTTTTGATCTTTTGAATTGTTTTCAAATGTAAAACTCAAAACTAACATTGACACAAATGACTTCCATCTATATTCTTAGCCATAGCATGTTGCCTAACACACTAAAAGACCATGCTAAGATTAGTTGATAGTACCAAGAAGGTAACAAAAAATCCTTTTCACAATGACCTAGTGCTCCCAACTTTGATTCTCTATGAATTGAGAGACAATTCCTACAATGAACACAATATATATATATATATATATATATATATATATATATATATATATATATATATATATATGTACACCATCAAGTACAATAGATTATTAATGGTTTGTTGATATAGAATACCAATCCAGCCTTGTGTATAAAGAAATTCTAGAGATAATAGTTCTACTTGAGTGGATATGCTATTTTTCGCTTTGTTAAAGATCCAGATTTTCACAGCTCAACTGTCGCAAATGTGACTTTAGGTATCAAAAGAGTCAGCCAGTCCTTATAGCCATTCTTTCCTTACTGCCATAATGGTAGAAAGTTGGTACAATTGGTTCCTTTTATCATTCCCACTTGAGTTAGTTGAGAAATTGGTCAATGACCTTGCACTTAAATTGGATAAACATAATGTAGGAACCCTATGTGTTTCTTGCTAAGCATACTTGGCCTGGTTTGAGAAACTCGTGTCATTGGCTTGCATTTACTAGTATCAAGAACCCCCGTGATATTGAGATTGGTCCCTTAATATTTGCTAAATGATAGCTTACGGTGTCTGCCAAGCACCCTTGCTATCATGCCCTTTTTGTTAGTCTCATTTCGGTTCTAAATGCTATTTATGGAAAGTGTTTGGATTTACTCCTTTGGCATATCTATGGAATGTAGAGATTGGCCTGAACACAATGGTGTTCATCTTGTGTCCAAATTTGCAATCTAGGAACATTCCATATTTAGTAAGTTTCAAGCTT